GGATTAAAATCGCGTACCTTCAGACGAACCGGAGAAAGAGGAACTCCCAAGTAACGAATAGGGAAAACCCCTGGCCGAAAAGATAAACTATCATGTATAAGAGTTTGAACCTCTGAAAGGGGAAGGGATTCCCCAGGCAATTTTATAAAGACAATAAAAGCGTCACCAGTACAAAAGCAATCAGCAAGAGAAACTACGACAACTTTGACTCACAAACCAAGTCATAAGCAGCCAAAAAAGACAAAGGGAAATACACCAAAACATAAGAACACCATACTCCAAAAAACAAAAGGCAAGAAACACCCAAATGAACCAAAACCAAGAAGAAGCACCACCSTCGAAGTCACATATCATTGGAATTCAAAAGTTTCTTCCTTGTCTTCCAAGCCATTCGATGAAGAATCTGCATCTTGATCACCTCAATAACTTTATCCTCCGAATGATTGAAATTGTCAAAGAACTTCCTATTTCGTTCCCTCCAGATATTATAAACCGTTGCCGATAATCCAAGTTTTTGAACCGTAGACCAAAATTTCCAAATTTGAGTGGATCCTCTGTGAAGAATATCCTCCCAATTGTTCGGATAGTTCGTTAATCCCACCTCCATTTTAATACCTTCCCAAATACTRCKAGAGTAAGTGCATTCAAAAAATAAGTGATTGTGCGTTTCAATCACTAATTTACAGAGCACACACTTTAAATCCGGTGGTTCATGCTTCCACTGACTKAWACGATCTTGGGTTGGCAATTTCTTCTGGCAAGCCATCCACATACAAAGAGCATGTTTTGGAATGAAAGCTTTATTCCAAACTAGTTTATACCAATGCACAACCGGGGTCACCTCWTGTATAGTCTTCCAAGCCACTTTTACCTKAAAATCACCCCGAGCACCTTTATTATCAAGCCATCGTACTTTATCCTCCACTTGACTGGGAGATGGAATAAGAACATTTTGCAGTTGAGGATAATGCAGAATCCAATCCTCCGGCCAATTAGAACCAAACCTGTGCATTACTTCATATACCGTGGAGTTATTGTGGAAACCCTGGCCATTGATAAATCTATAAGACAAAGACTGAATAAGTGGTCCCAACTCGCTCCTTGTATCTTCCCAAGCATGCGTAGATAAGCTATTACCCACATCATAGATAAAGAAACGTCGGCAATGAGGTCTTAAGTCTAAAAGACTCCGGAGGATCCATGACCACTCATTCCTYTTCTTGATGACCCAAAAGTTACGGCCCCGAACACAGTGAGAGTGAATCCAAGAGACCCACATCGTATTTCTTTCCCTTAAAATATCCCAAATATGTTTGAAAAGAAGACACCTATTCCAGGTTGCAAGTCTTTTCAAACCAAGTCCCCCACTCTGAACAGGYAAGCAAATARAATCCCAAGCAACTCGACATTTACCCCTCTGGCCCTCCGCTTTATTCCATAAAAAATTACGAAAAAGCTTCTCAATTTCATGAATCGTGGCTGCCGGTACAAGGAATACCGACATCCAAAATGTTTGCATAGAGTGGAGAACAGAGATAATAAGTTGACGACGCCCTCCATAAGAGAGGAATTTATTCTTCCAATTTAACAGACGAGATTTAATCTTTAACACAAGGGGATTAAAATCACGTACCTTCAGACGAACCGGAGAAAGAGGAACGCCTAAGTAACGAATAGGGAAGACCCCTGGCCGAAAAGATAAACTATCACGAATACGGCCCTGATCCTCCATTGAAACATTCCCGAAAAACACCTCACTCTTCTCCAGACTTGGCGATAAGCCTGATCGTTCTTCAAACAATAGTAAACCACGTTTAATAACCTCCACCGAAATAATGTCCCCTTTAGAAAAGATAAACAAGTCATCAGCAAAGCATAAATGAGTCAATTTAACATCCGCACAACCTTGATGATACGAAAAGTTAACCACTTCCACTATACACTACGAAAGAAGCATCGAGAGACCCTCCATAACAACAGTGAACAGATAAGGGGATAGAGGATCGCCTTGTCGAAGGCCCCGCTTTCCATGAAAAAAACCCTCCGGCTGACCATTTACACAAATAGAATAAGAGGGAGTCGTGATCAGAGTCTTRATCCAGTTGATCATGACTGGKTGAAAACCCATTCCCTTCAGCATCTCTAAAAGAAAGTTCCATTCAACTGTGTCATATGCCTTACGAATATCAATCTTGAAAGCACATCTAGGTTCTCCTTCCGATCTCTGATACCCAGCAACTAGTTCATGAGCCATTAAGATATTTTCAGTGATTTGGCGTCCAGGAATGAACGCAGATTGAGCCTTACTAACAAGAACATCCAACGAACCTTTCATCCGATCAACAATAATCTTACTAATACACTTTAACAACACATTGCAACAAGCAATAGGCCTAAACTCAGTAACACAAGATGCATTAGGGACCTTCGGCACAAGACATAAAAGGGTATGATTCAGCTGATACTCCAATTTTCCAGAGTAGAAGAAATTATGTATCCCAATAAGCACATCCCTCCCAACCACATTCCAAGCTGACTTAAAAAATTTAGAAGAATATCCGTCAGGGCCTGGAGCTTTATCATTTCCAATAGCAAATAAAGCATCCTTTATTTCCAAATCCGAAATTGGACGAATTAAATGAAGAGAGTCCGTTAAAGATAAAGAATGACGAAACACACAATCCCCCATAGATGAAGGCACCAAACTATTAGATGTACCAATAATCTCTTTAAAATGAGAAATGAAAGCCGAAGATACCTCCTGATGCTCATAGATTACGCCATCCGAGTCCCTGATCATGGCTATATGGTTCCGATTGCGCTTTTCTTTCATAGCATGAAAGAAGAATTTAGAATTACCATCCCCTTCATTTAGCCAAGATATCTTCGCTTTTTGTCGAGCCAATTCCACCTGGTTACTCCTAGCTTCTTGATAAGCTAATAAGAGGTGAGCAATGTCCTCCTTTAGCAAATCATTAAACGGGTCAAGATCACAAGCCAATTGTGCAACATCAAGTTCCGTCTTTAGCTGAACAACCCTTTTTTCCAAACAGCCATACGAATTACGGAGACGCCGACAAACCACCTTAAGATCTTTCAATTTCCTAAGAACCCTCATCATGTAAGAACCATTCTGAGGCTTCGACCAAACCTCCTCCACCGAAGCAAGGAAGTCCTTATGGGAGGTCACAAAATTGTCAAACTTAAAACCACGCTGTCGAATACGTCTTCCAACACGGAAAGAAAGAATGCCCGGGGAATGGTCAGAAATCCCCGTAGGTTCAAAGAATGCCGAAGCATCCCCAAATCTAGAGATAAAATTCGAATTGCCCAAAATACAATCAAGTTTTCTCATAACACCCTCTCCCCCCGAAGGTTTCTGGATCCAAGTAAATTGACACCCTTGATACGAAATATCAAATAATTCAGCCTCCTCCARACAGATATGAAACTCCTCCATGTCAGAATTCCTCCTGGAGGAACCCCCCAACCCATCATGAGGAAAAAGCATCGAATTAAAGTCACCYAKAGCAATCCATGCWTTCYTCTDACWGAAGGCATGAAATTCCCCAAAAGCCCGCCAAAGTTCACGCCGTTCTGTACCCGTATTACATCCATAAACAAAAGTGATAAAAAGGGGTTCAGGTTGACCCARTATTCGAACTTCACAATGTACATATTGATGATGCTGCTCAATCATAAGGACAGAAAAAACCGACGGGTCCCAAGCAATAATAAGGCGAGTACCTTGATCACTGACCGAACCATTAGAAATCCAATTCCAATTACCAAATACACTRCTACATACATCCCCCAAGTGATTGTAGACAACTTTGGACTCAATGATGCAACATAAGGAAAGATGTTTGAGAGTAATGAAATCACGTACCTCCTTTCGTTTAATAAGGGCATTTAATCCCCTAACATTCCAAGCAGCCAACTTTATCATTGAGACAAAGAAGGTGGATCATCCGCTCCTCGTTTGGCCTTTAAATGCTCCTCCGTATCAATGATCTCCATTTCGTCATCATCACTAGACTCGTCRGAAAGAGAAGAAAATCGATTGCTAGTTTTCAGATCGAGAACTTTACCCCTCCTTGGTTTAAAAGCTTGCTCCACCTTTTGCACTAACTCCGGATTTCCTTTCGATAAGATTTGAACATTGGAGACATCATCTCTCCCTCTCGGCGTACGTCCCGCATTCATCGTACAGAATTGTCCTTCCACTTTTCCATTATCCTTCCCCTCCAAATTCGTAGAAACCCCAGAACTTGAAACATGTTTGACATTTGTATCTTTCCCCGAGGGTTTGGAACCCTCTTGAACCCTTTTTAGAACACCAACCCCAGTTAAAGTATCAAGCGTACCTGTGACCGTTCCAGATGATGTCGCCTGAAAATCTGTACGGCCCGATGTATCCTTTTTCCTCCACTGTTTCCGCCTGATCTCTGTAAACCCCCTGTTATCTGTGACTGTTTCAGAAACCCTATGCTTTGCAATATCCCCTTTCAGACATGACGCCGTTCGATGACCAAACACTTTACACACTGAACACTGGGATGGAACCCAATCATATTCCAGAACAATATTGATGATATCCTCTCCAGTACCTGAAAGCCTGGGAATAACCACCTCAATATTTCTCTGCATTTCACCCACAGCCCACACATCCACCAACACTTTTGCAAAGTTAGTGCGACCCCAAGCTTTATCACAACCCGAAAAACACCTCACTTTTTTCCAGACTTGGCGTCAATCCCGATCRTTCTTCAAACAATAGAAGGCCACGTTTGATGACTTCCACAGAAATAATATCCCCCTTAGAGAAAATAAACAAATCATCAGCAAAGCATAAATGAGTCAACTTAATATCCGCACAACCTTGATGATACGAAAAATTAGCCTCCTCCTCAATACASTTCGATAGAAGMATCGAGAGACCCTCCATAACAACAGTAAACAGATAAGGGGAGAGAGGATCTCCTTGACGAAGGCCCCATTTACCATGAAAAAAGCTGTCCATTAACACAAATAGAGTAAGAGGGTGAAGTGATCAGGGTCTTGATCCAGTTAATCATGACTGGATGAAAACCCATTCCTTTCAGCATCTCTAAAAGAAACTGCCAATCAACTGTGTCATAAGCCTTACGAATATCTATCTTAAAAGCACATTTTCGTTCCCCTTCAGAACGCTGATAAACAGCGACCAGTTCATGCGCCATTAAGATATTATCAGATTGAGCCTTGCTAACAAGAACATCCAGCGATCCTTTCATCCGGTCAGCAATAACTTTACTAATACACTTCAGCAACACATTACAACAGGCAATTGGCCGATAATCAGTAACACAAGAAGCATTAGGAACCTTCGGCACAAGACAAAGAAGAGTATGATTCAGCTGATAATCCAAAGTTCCAGAATAGAAGAAATTTTGTATCCCAATGAGAACATCCATACCAAACACATTCCAAGCTGCTTTAAAGAATTTAGAAGAATACCCATCAGGGCCTGGGGCCTTTTCATTCCCAATGGCAAACAAAGCATCCTATATCCGAAATAGGACGGATTAAGTGTAGAGAATACGATAACGATAAGGAATGACCAAACACACAATCCGCCATAGAGGGAGGAACCAAAACATTAGAGGTACCTAGAATACCTTGAAAATGGGAAAGGAAAGCTGTAGAAACCTTCTGATGGTCATAAACTGTACCAGAAGAATCCCTTATAGTAGCAATATGGCTCCGATTGCGCTTTTCTTTCATAGCATGAAAAAAGAATTTAGAGTTTCCATCCCCTTCATTGAGCCAAKATATCTTCGCTTTTTGACGAGCCATTTCCACTTGATCATTTCTAGCTTTTTGATATGCTAACAAGAGGTGAGCAATGTCCTCCTTCAGCAAGTCATTAAACGGGTCTAGATCACAAGCCAATTGAGCGACATCAAGTTCCATCTTTAACTGAACTACCCTTTTATCCAAACAACCATACGAATTTCRGAGACGCCGACAAACCACCTTCAGAGCTTGCAATTTCCGAAGCACCCTCTTCATATAAGATCCTCTCTGAGGTTTCATCCACACCTCCTCCATAGAAGCAAGGAAATCCTTATGAGATGTCACAAAATTATCAAACTTAAAGCCACTCTGGCGAAGACGTCTACCAACTTTAGAAGAAAGAATACCCGGAGAGTGATCAGATATCCCCCTTGGTTCAAAGAAAACCAAAGCATCCCCAAATTTAGTGATAAAAGCAGAATTTCCCAGGATACAATCAAGTTTGCGCATAACACCATCTCCCCCCGAAGGTTTCTGTATCCAAGTAAATTGGCATCCTTGATACGAAATGTCAAATAATTCTGCCTCTTCCAGACAGAGATGAAACTCCTCCATGTCTGAATTTCTCCTAGAGGAA